AGAAGAGTATTGAATGTACCATGGACTGCCAAGAAAATAAACAGATTCATGCTGGAGAGGGTTAAAGCAGGCTGCTCATTGGAGGCAAGGCTTCTAGGGCTTCGTCTGACATACTTTGGGCATGTTGTAAGGAAGGACCGGTCCTTGGAGAGGGACATCATGCTTGGGAGGGTGGAGGGACAGTGCAGGAGGGGAAGGCCCTCTATGAGGTGGGGTAATTGGGATGGGTGTATCGGAGACAGTGCAATTGGCACAGGACAGAGCAGGGTTTAGGACTGTTGTACAGAGGGTCGCTATGAGTTGCAAGTAGCTCAACGGCACATAACAACAACAACATTTATTTTCTCACAAAGTTCGTATACATTATGTTTCATACTATTCCTCATTCACATTGTGTTTCATGCAATCATTCCAATGCAATATGTTTTATAAAATTAATCACCATTGAAATAAGGTCATCATTACACTGTCTGTTCTGGTCCCTACCAGTTCTTTTTCATTTCCTTTATCCTCTCCCTCTCCCTCTCCCTACTAAATTGAGAAACCCTTTTGATTTCATCCCTACCTATCCCCACCCCTCTGTTCCCACCATTTCCCTGCTTGGGTTCCCTTACGTTTTTTACTAGTTATCCTTCTATTTTTACAATAATAATCGATATCACAGTGATACGCCATATCAACCCACTAATAGGGTTCTTTTGATTATCGCATTCAAACTCATTGCCATTGATTGGAAAGTGATGCACAGTTGACCCTCCACTTGATTTCTAAGGCTGTAAATCGTGCTGGGGAAGGTGACCAATCTTCCTCTCTCTGAGCAGCTGGTGGATTCAAACTGCCAGAGAGATGTCACCTTTGGATTAGCAGTGTAACTTCTTAAAGGACTATGCCACCAGAACTCCTTATAATGAAAAAACCAATGCTTTCATGGATATAACTTAAATAGAACTTCCATATATTGTTTGTATTGTCATACAAATACCCCAAAGAATTCAAACCATGACTCCAAGCAAAAGTGTGTACAGAAATGTCAATGGGATTATTCTTAAGAACTAACACAATGGAAACCCCCAAATGTCTGTGAATCAATGAACAAAAACTATTTTCTCACGCAATTGAATATTATTTACTCACAAAAAGTAATGAAGTGTTTATTCATGCTGTGGCCGGGATAAACCTTGGAAACCTTAGGCTGAGTGAAGAGGCCTGAAGAGTCACATACCACATGATTCTGTTTATATGAAGTAACGAGATTAGGCAAATGAGGGGTCAGAGATTACTTGTCATGGCCCGGAGCAGAAAGAACAGTGTAATAGCAACTGACTGATAGTGGGTGTAGGATAATAAAAATATTCTGGAATTTGAGGTTGTGGCAATAATTGTATAAGCTAAAACCATATTATGTTTCATGTTTAAAAAAATGTACTTTTAAGTATGTAAATTATATCTCATTTAAGAGACAGAGAGAGAGAAAGAGAAAGAAGGGATAGTAGACCAAATCTGGCCCAGGAGCCATAGTTTTCCAGGGCTCACATAAGAGGAAATGTAATCTCAATGTCTCAGAAAAGTCTGGGTTGTACCTAGAAGCTGATCAGTAAATGATTGCTAACTGAACTAATGAATAAATGAGTGAGTGTAAGGGATAAATCTTTAACTGTTGACATTTTGTTTTGTTTTACATTAGTACTATGATCAGAGATTAGCCTTAATGAGAAGTAATTTCCATGATATCTGTGTTCTCTTTTCTTTCTGTTTACTCTATAATTTATACTCTATCATGTGTAAATTATTTTAATTAAATCTTTCAAGATAAGACACTTTATATGCCTCAGCTATAAAATGACTTTGTTTTTAGAAGAAGTCATTTAATGTTCAATCGAAATGTCACCATGACTATGGAATTGTAAATAACTCCTTGCATTTTTATCAGAAAACAAGGATTTTGCTGGATTAGTAGTTACTGAGTGTGATCTCTTGGAGGATAAGAAAGCTTAAAATTCAAATCATTTATCTGCCTCTTTCAATGTATCACCTTCCTCAGCTTTTAAAGGTCTAATTACAGCAATACTGAATTTATAAAAGCAAGCTTATTATTTTAATTGACATGGGCATAGCAGTGGTGTGTGTGTGATTTTTTTTCCCTCTGCTTTTTTTAATGGAGTTAATGATGTGGTTGGAACAGATGATTTTACCTTTTTTTCTTAGCTCCAAAATTTCAGCTCCATTCCATAATTCTAACCTAACTGAAAACAGTTTTTACTTATTGCAGTGCACTCTAAATTCCTAAAGTTAACACACTTCTCTTTAAGTGATAAGTATTAACGCAGGATTTTAACGAGAAAACCTAAACCTTGATGGTCCCTTAAGTGAACTGCCAGGAAATCAATGGCGGAACCTAAACAAACCCCCTTCTCGCAGCTTCCTTTATACCACTTGGCTCAGCAGACCACAGATAATCTTTTGCTTTGTCTAAGGAACCATTTCACCCATCACTGAAATATAGCCACCCCCAAAGAAGGCCACATTATCAATTTAATAGGACACAAGCAAGGAAGCCAATAATAGAGGACAGAAATCCAATGCAAGTAAATCCAGTACAATCTGCTCAGCTCCTCAGTTTCTCTACAAATGCTATTTCAATCCAAAAGCAGTGTGTTTCCTGCTAAGGAGGAATATTTTAACAATCCCCCCAAGTAAGATACAAGATCAGATCTGGAACCACAAACTCTCCATTTCCTTGAGTTCAGTGCGTGTCAACATACATTAATTATGAGCCTGTGATGAGGCCCGCACATGCCTGATGCTATGTATAACATTAGAGATACTCAAGATAAAATGGTTGTGATAAGCCTGGGACCTCATGCCAGTGTATCTGCCTTTAGGCATGGTGTGTGCTATCTTGAATAGTAAAAAATACTTTTAGAAATGCATGTTTTTGTAGGTGATTTGAGGCATCCTTAACTAAGCTGGGGAAGTAGAGCAATATTATCTGGTTACTAGCATCCTACATCATAGAAATCTAAGAAATGGAAGAAAGGCTCTGTGAATTTCATCGAGCATCTTACTTTGCAGAGTCATTCTGATCTGGGGACCTGAATATGACAAGTGTTTGTATTATTGATATACAACACTAAAATTCCTGTACAATTAATTTGATAAAAGGTAGAAGTTTTAGCTTCAGGGGCTGCTTCCATCTGGTCCCCTCAATAAACATTTAGAAACCAGAAACATGATGGACACAATGTTTTAGGAGGTAAGAGATAGAAGCTGTTTGTCTTTTCATAATTTTCAGTTGTCAGTAATTCAGAAATTCTGTCATTGGTTGCACACATGTGCATGGTAATCTGCTATAACTTTTTATCAAGGCCACATTTGCAGACACTTGCTCAATTTTATGTAATTTGTTTAATTAATCATATTCTTTTTTTTTTTTTTTTCCATTCTGGCCATCATTGTATTTCCATTTAAAACAGAAAGCGTGTGCCAAATGCTGGCTTCTGGCTTCAAACCACCAAAGCAAGGCTCCTTTTTACCTCTCTTTTAAGAAAAAAGAGGCAATAAAGTG